TGCTCTATATGGTTCAATAGATAATCTGGCGAATAGCTCCTAAACTGTGATGAAAAAAAGTACATCACATCGTCACCTTTAAGACAACGCTACCTCCCCCCTCCTGTCTTGTCCGTACACCCCTGTAGCACTACATCCTTCTCCCCATCTCCTCCACCTCCTTCCCCTTCCTCTCCCTAAGGGCGATGTGGCATTTCTCCCCTCAGCCGGCCCTTGCGCTGTCACTCCGGATGGCTCCTAACGCGTCGTGCCCCACTGTGATTGAGCATTACGAGGTGTTTCACGCCTCCATGAATTAGTCGAGACGGCAGGGAGGGCCTTGGGTAAATGATACGTATGGATTGCAATGGCAAGAGGGTTCACGGTGGGGTCAGGTCAGACGGAGAGTAGGCAAAGCGTGCCGCTTTCCTTTGACGAACCGCGCAAACGCGCGCGTACGCATCAACCCACCTGTTTTTACTAAACACGGCAACATGACGCACTTCACATGCGCCGACGTTTCTGCGTCGTGCGCTTTAGAACAGACAAAACAACCTCAGCATCTCTTTGTTTTGCATCAGCGGTGCAATCCGCGTTGGTTTAAGTATCCCCGGTGCGTGAAGAGGTAAGGTGCGGAGCGGCGCAGAGCATGTAATTAATGTACTGTGAGGAGAGGCTTCTGCCCAGTGACAGAGAGAGAGACCACCTACTGGATTTTAATACAGCTCGTCAATGCGGCCACGGGACGCTCGATACGGGCATGTCTCAACTCGGGGGGCTGAGTGGGTGAAAGCTATGCGGGGAGACATGCACAGGGATGGAAAAGCCCTTTTTGTGTACGGAAAGGGCAGTTAGGACCTCTGCCAGTGTTATTATAGGTCAGGAAAATGAAAGGAATAGCATGCTGGCTTTCCGCCGCTTGCAGAATAGATTTGAAAACAATTTTGCCTACGCACATAAACGCTCACAGTCACATAAATTCAATCACGATGATGGACAGTGAAACTCCTCTACAACGAAATCATGTTTGCAGCAAGACATTTTACATTTACATTTACATACATTTTACAACAGGGTTTTTTCACTGTAGCAAATTTGATCTCAGATGTAAACACACACACACACACACACACACACACACACACACACACACACACACACACAAACGTAAGTGTACTATTTATTTTTATTTCAATAGTGCATAAGTATGAGCATAAACTTAATTGACACTTTATATATAATCAGTGCAGAAAGAAAAAAAAGGGAAAGAATTTGCGAAATTTACGATTAGCATTCACTTTCACTGACATCAATTTCTTGAATAATGTATTTTATTTTGCTTCCTCCATCTTTCATTTTGATCATTTTTACCCTCTCTTCCAGCGTCACAGCTCTTCTTGTCTTAGCTGCTTGACATCCAAAGGTCCGTTTTGTCGCCATTTTAACAATGCAACGTTCTTGCTGCGTCTGAAACGAACAATAACAAATACTTCCTGGACTACTGCGCATGTGTAAATCAGTGTGGTGGTTGCTGTTGCCGTTTCCGAACGAAGCAGTAGAGGTCGCTGTTGGATTAGACTTCGTTGTAGTGAATCTCGTCGCGAGGCAAGAGCAGAGAAAAAGATTTCGTACACGCAACAGGGTTTTTTTTCGTTGTATGGGGGGGGCGGCAGGAGAGTGGGAATGGTGTGAATGCATGAAGATTTTTTTCACACTAGGGGGTATTTTCGCCCATGTAGGTTTTGCTGTAGAGGAGTTTCACTGTAGTGGCGAAATGACATTTTGTTCCTAATTGCATCGTCAGTGTCTATGTTGTTATTCAGGTGCAAAGCGTTCATGATAAAAACGAAATAAGTGTCACGACCGTGTTTTAGTTTGGATTTGGTTTTGTTTGTTTGCTTTTTTTTTGGGGGGTGGTTCATGTCTGGTGCTGTTTGTTAGTTTTCACCTGTGCTTGTCAACTCGTTCCATTGTGTCTTCCACTCAGTTCCCTCAGCCACGTGTGTATTGTCCAGGTGTTTCGATTGTCTGGCTTGCGTTTCGTTTCCTGGTTTCATTCGAACCTTATCCTGTTCGTTGTCGTTTGTCTTTTTCTGTTGCCTGATGAGACGTAAATACCTTTTGTTTTTGACTAATCCTCCTGCAGAACTGCTTCACATCTGTTTGACCGATCTCTCCTTCGATGATTTTTCCTACTGCGACTGCACTGGTCGAGTATTGTCGGGCCTTCATGCTGTTGCTGCAGATGGCGCGGTTTCAATTCCCGGCCTGTGCCCCGATACCCAGCCACTGCTGGTCCCGAGCCCAGATTAAAAAAAAAAAAAAATGGAAGGGTTGCGTCAGCAAGGGCATCCGGCGTAAAAAGCTCAGCCAAATAAATCACGTGAGTGACTCGCCGCGGCCATCCCTGTTGGTACAAGATGAAAAGTCACAACAAATGACGACGCCTACTGTGGTTTCCTATTGACATGCTCTTTATTGGCTCTTCCTTTTGTTTCGATGTCGGAACATACTTCTGACATCGGTATTTCAGCTTGAGTAAGCAAACACGCGAGCATATGCTCGACCACTTCACCTGGCGCAGAAAAGAAGCAGAGGAGCATTCGAGACACGGGACGTCAACGTCTTGTACTGTATGCTGGCACTTTGTACAGCTGTAGGGAGATGCGATTCCACTCTTCTGTTGCGGGAGCTGGGGTTGGGGGGTCGGGGGGGGGGAGTGCTGCAGATCAATAATACCATCCAGGAGCTGCCTGCTGAGTGTCGCACTCCCTGGAGTGTCTGAATGGATTTAAGTGACAGTTTTCTTCTCCACTTTCTCCCGATTTGACCGCATTGCTGACATTTTCTGGCTTTCGCTCCTTGTCATATTTTTCCAACTTTCTGGTTTTGTTTTGTTTTATTTTATTTTATTTTTTTTTGGGGGTGGTGGTTGGGCGGCGGGGGTCAATTTTTGTCATCTGCGCTTGACTGCGTTCAACCCCGGGGGCTGGATAAGCCGGTCGCGTCGCTGCGTCTGCCAGCACGTCTTTAGCAGCCTGGCAGTTGGGTACAGTAAGTCCATCACAGGTTGTAATCAAACCTGCCGGCAAACGGAGGCAAGAGGGGTGGTGGTGGGGGGAGGGGGGAAAGTGTGTGGGAAGGGGATCTGCTTCTGCCTGATTAATCATAATGTAATTTTAATTTAAAAAAAAAAAAAGCATCGTGTCAAAGGGTTTAGCTGCCTGAGAAGTGAGCCCAGATTGCCACGCAGCGGCATCCCTTCAGTGTGCAGGCAGGAAATGCATCCTGACAAATCCAGGCGCCCAGGCCAAGAAAACAGAGGCCACCATTACCGGGATATTGTCGTCGAGGGTGTGGGTGGGAGACAAGTGGGGAGGAAGGGGGTTGGG